TAAGTAAGTAAGTAAGTAAAGTAAAGTAAAGTAAGTAAGAACTAACTAATAACTACTACTAACTAACTTAACTTAACTAATAACTAAACTAAAGTAAGAGAGAGAGAGAGAGAGAGAGAGAGAGAGAGAGAGAGAGTCATGTGGGGGTACCATTGGCTATTTCATAAGTTAAGACTGGGACTGTTATTTCTGAATAGGAATCCCCTGCAATGTAAAGTGGGTTTGACAAGAATTCTGGATATTTAATGAACCACTGTTTTATACATGAGAAAACTGTATATTATCAATCCTCATGACATAGAAATGATGGGTAAAGATTGAGAGCAAATAGGTACAAAGTACAATGAATAAAAGTCCATTCATTACTTACCTTGTTCAAAAACTTATAGATGTCCTTGACAGTCTTGACGTCAATGATTTATAATCTTGAGGGGCATTGGGGTATGAAAATCCAGTTCCAGTTGTTGAATCAAGAAATATGATGTTGGCAACCTACAGTTTCATAACTTTTTGGTTCAAATTCAATAATGCCGATAAAAGGTATATGGAAGTAGTTGAGAAAAAATAGTAGTAGAACAACACCTGGGTCCACGAGTAAAGGCTGGTTCGAAGACTTGGCAGTGTCCCATCGTACTCTGCCACCTCAAATCGCAGGGGACCTGCAAGACGAGTTTGGATTGTTAGTATTGGGTGTGGTTTAAAAAAGTTTTGTCAAGGGTGCGGTTTGTAACTTTGAATAGAGCCGAGGCTCTAAACAATCAAAGTACAGGCGCACCTTTAAATAGTGTTGAGAAATATGGTTTCGATACTGGAAATATTTGTAACACCCTTAAAATATATTTTCATCTTTAATTATAAAATTTAAAGCTTAAAAAATAGTGTAGATCGAGTTGATCTATGAAAACTTGAAACTTTTGAAAATTGACGGTCTAAAAATGCGTTACAAGATGAATTATTTCCAAAACCTAAAATCCATTTTTTTTTTTCTCATGTCCAAGCATATTGATGTCGATATGATCAATTTGAGGATATTTGGGCATCAAAACAACCTCTTCTAGTTAAATTTTTGAGGAAGGTTCTAATTTGATTGGTTAGAGCCTCGGCTCCATATAAATTTATTCTTAGCTATAATGTTAGGATTTCTATTATGGGTGCGGTTTGTATAGAGCCTAGGCTCTAAACCATAAAATTAGAGCCTACCTTCAAATAGTATCGAAAAATGTGGTTTCAATATTGAAAATCTTTATGATAGCCTTAAAATATATTTTCATTTTTATTTATAAAGTTTAAAGCTTCGAAAATAGTGTAGATCGATAGGTCTATGAAAACTTGAAAATCTTGAAAATTGACTGTCCAAAAATGCATTACAAAATACTCTATTTTCAAAACTTGAAATCTATGTGTTTTTTTCATGTCTATGCATTTTGATGTCGAGTCAATTAGAGGATATTTGAGCTCAAAAACAACCTCTTCTAGTGAATTTTTGAGATAGCCTCAAATTTGATTGTTTAGAGCCACGGCTCTATATAAACTTTCCCCTTTTATTATTTCATAAAATAAAACTGATGCTTTTTTAAGGTTTATTTTGGGTCCAGCCAGCACGTTATTGGCATTATATATTGTGGATCCTCATCAATACATAATGGGTGAGGTTTCTATAAGGTTGCAACCTTAAACAATCCAATTTAGGCGCGCCCTAAAATTTTATCATAACATGTAATTTTGTTGTAAAGAATTCTTAGTATTATCTTAGAATCTGTTTTCATACCTAATTAGAAATTTTTAAATTTCAAAAATGGTTAAAATCAAGTCAATCTATAACTATATAACTATATGAAAATCTTGAAAATGGATGGTCTAGATAATGTGTTGCAAGATGCACTATTTTTGGGAGTTAAAAACTTTTTGTTTTTCATATTCATACATCTCGATGTTGAGATGATCGATTAGAAGGGTTTTTCAACATTAAAACAACATTTTTGATAGATTTTTTAGGTGCATATGTGATTCTACATTTTAAGGTTGCAACCTTACTAAAAATTTTCCCATACGATATCATATTCAATTTATGACAATATATGTACTAATAGAGAGACGATAGTGCTCACACTATAGATCTAAGTCCATGGTGGTATGAGTTCTAAGTCTTAATGTTTCAACATGTCTCCTATCAGAATCGACCGATCTGGATCAAGAATCATCCCACTCGAATTAGTTTCCACAATAGATTAAAAAAGGGCCGTGTCACCCCTAGACTCGTTGATTCAACTATAGCAAACAATCGAGTCGCTATAGCAGAATGGGCGATTCCCGTTTAAAAACATTTGACTGCCCGTGAACTTGGGTTTTTTATTTATTTTTGTTTTTGAACCTTGTTTTTGTAGAGACAATAATTGATCCCAAAATTCATTTTAATCTATAAACCTCATACAATAGATTACAAACTCACAACAAATCATTTCCTTCTTCTTCTTTTTCCAATTTTTTCAGTGGAAAAAAGCATGTTTTATGTGTTCTTGAGAGCAATGGGCAAATAGCCATTTTATCATTAATTTCTCAATGGTTTTGGTTTTATTTTCTTTTTTAAATGGTCTTTGGAGACCCTAGAACAAGATTTAGTATTTGATTAGTGCTAAAATGTAACGATCCTAGATGGTTTAAGGGCCTAACTTTATGTGTTTTCATCACCCAAAGGTTTTGGGGTGTATTTGTTAGGTACCTAATATTTGGTATCAGAGCAACCACTGCAGCTCAGGTGGGCTACTTGAATATAATAAGAGTGAGAGCCGCCTGAATATAATCAGAGTGAGAGCCACCAAAGACGTCAATCCTAGGAAATGGCTATCTATGGAAAGGGCTACTTGAATAGAGTGAGAGCCCATCATAGAGTGAGAGTCTCCAAGGACGTCGATCCTTAGAGTCACCAAGGATGTCGATCCTAAGAAAGGGCTATCTTCGGTGGTTTACGGTTTAAGGGCCTAACTTTCCGAGTTTCCGTCACCTAAGGGTTTTGGGGCGTATTGGTCAGCACCTAACATAAAAATATCACGTTGGAGAGGATCTAGCCGTAAGTTTTTGGGTTTCCAAAGCCAAGGTCAGATGGTGTTGATGTTGTTTTTCTTCAGATTCATATGGGGATATTGATTTACAATGGTTTTGTTTTCATATAAATTAGCATGTGAATTTATCATTTTGTTATCTTTACATATAAATTAGTATGTGAGTTTATCACTTTGTTTTCTTTACGATTTTTTTGTGAATTTTTTTTTTTTCCTATATTCTTGAGCACTGTCCGTTAAACAGCCAATTTCTGAACGATTTGTCAACATTTTTTTGCTGAAATGTGTTTACAAAGGGTCTTTGGAGATCCTAGAACAAGATTTAGGTCTTTGTCAGTGCTAAAAATCATCTCTTTGGCATGGATCTAGCCCGAAATTTTTCGGGTCCAAAAGCTTTTAGATCTTCAAGTACTCATTCACATATCATATTTGATGTCGTTTTTCTTCGAATTTATGTGGGGATATTAATATGAAGAACTTTATTTCTCATCTAAACCAGGTATGTGAATTTCTCATTTTGTTTTCTTTTTCTATTAATTTTTGGGTGAAAAAATTCATGTTTTCATGTGTTCTTGAGAGGAGTCTGCCAAACAACCAATTTATCATCGATTTGTCAAGGATATTTGCCGGAATTTTTGTTTTTTTAAAACAAAACAGTACTTGGACGCCCTACTACAAGATCCAAGACATGATTATGTAGTGAGATTAACTTTCGTTTTTAGTTTTTTTTTTTTTTTTCATTTTTACAATTATTTCCAATTTTTTGTCTTCACTATGTAGATTTTCAGAAAAAAATCATTCTTTAAATAATTTTTTTAAAGTTATAATATCTGGATTTCTTTTTTCATTTTTTTAGATCTCATAATACGAAAGTAATTTTGTATGTAATATCCTTCTATCAAGATTGATCATTTGGATATTGCAATGAATATATGTTAATATATTAACCCTTGATTAATAATATATTATTTTTATTATAGATTTAAATAAAGATTTTTATATTAGATAACAACTTTTTATACTAAATAGAAAACTTTATTTATATTATTTTTTCATATTTTTTTTAGATCTTATAATATGGAATTGTTTTTTGATGCAACTGTTGTTCTATAAAGATTGATCATTTGGAAATTAAAATAAATAGAGTAATATGGGAAAAGTTTATATAGAGCCGAGGCTGTAAACAGATCAAATTTGAGCCTACCACAAAATTTTCACTAGAAGAAGTTGTTTTGATGCCCAAATATCTTCAAATTGATCATCTCGACATCAAGATGCATGAAAATAAGAAAAAACAATGGATTTCAAGTTTTAGAAATAATGCATTTTAACGCATTTTTGGACAGTCAATTTTCAAGATTTTCAAGTTTTCATAGATCTATTGATCTATAGTATTTTTTAAGCTTTAAACTTTATAAATAAATATAAAAATATATTTTAAGGCTATCACAAAGATTTCCCATATTAAAACTACATTTCTCGACACTATTTGACAGTAGGCTCTAATTTGATTGTTTAGAACCTAGGCACTGTACAAACTACACCCAACTAATATATTATAATTAATTCCCTATACATTAATAATGTAAATCTTGCAACGTATTTAGTAATTTATTTAAAATTTATATAGATGAATATGGTCATGCATGTTGCAATTGTTGTGTTCTTCTAGCTTCACGTCCTATAACCATGCATCTAGCTAGATTTATCAGATTCTTAAGTTATGCATGTTGTGTCCTTCTAGCTTCACGTCCTATAACTATGCATCTAGTTAGATTTATCAGATTCTTAAGTTATGCATGCTGTAGATCTTATGTCTGATTAGCTTGAGATTGACATGGAGATTCTAAGGAGTTACAAATCGGGTTGAATATATGATGCATGTTCATGTTTCTGCCTTGCAAAGTACTTATATTCATCATCGATTGGCAATGCGATCAATCGAGTCATCAAATGGATTGTGAAACAAATGATATTCTTTTCTTTTTACTGTATGGAAAAAGTTTATATAGGCTCTAAACAATCCCCGTCTCAACAATTTCACTAGAAGAGGTTTTGATGTCCAAATGTCATCAAATTGATCATCTCGACATCAAGATACATGGACATGAGAAAAAAAAAAAAAAAGGAATTTCAAGTTTTGAAAATAGTGCATCTTGTAACACATTTTTGGACCGTCAATTTTCAAGTTTTTATAGATCTGCTCCATCTACTAGATATTTGAAGCTTTAAATTTTATAATTAAAGATGAAACTAAATTTTAAAGCTATCACAAAGATTTTCAGTATTGAAACCACATTTCTCAACACTATTTGAAGGTGTGCCTTACTTCGATTGTTCAGAGTCTCTACTCTTGACAAACCTCACCCATACTCTATTAAACAACTTATTGCATAGTATAAGTCATGGACTCATCTAAACCATGATGATTAATAAGCACTCTTTTTTTAGTAATGTGAATGTAATGGTCAGTAGGGATTCAGACAAGGAAATGACATCTCAATATTCACGTTTTTTTGTAAAATAATGAAAATACGTAATACACCACTCCGAAAATTTTGAAAATACGAAAAACACTATTTTTAGGGATTTTTAGTAAT